GTAGGGATTGACATATCTAGAAGTATTATTAGGTTTAGAGTCAACATTAAGGAGTTTACCTCTTTTCTTGCAAATACTAGTTTTTTTCCCAACCCCTTTTGTTGATAATATTATTATTATTATTATTTTTTACATTTGAACTGGAAATGGTTCAAAATTTTCCCATCTATTCAGCAGCAGGAGGAGTCACATCTCACCTGCTATCAGTAAGGGATGAAGAGTTTTAGATGAGAGGGTTTCTTAAACCCCCAGTTCTGCCTGTAATTCTTTCCCCTTCTCCCAGTAACCTTATCCCTTTCGTTTGCTTGTTCTCCCTTGCCCTTCTCTCCCTCTCGAAACCTTACACAAGGTTTGCCCATGAGGGAGGCTCTGGGTGTGTGCTTGGGATCTGTGGATGGCAGAAAGCACACAGACCCAAGGTACAGTGCCTGGGGAGACGACGTGCCCCCGAATAACATGACATTGTTACTGCTAACTGTTTCAAACAGCCCATCCCCATCATCCCTGGTGCCATTTGAAAATCAGTGTCATTCTTTCACCCCTGTGCACTCCACAGGTGCTAACCTGGGTTTCTATACTTGGCCTGTGTTGAAGTATAATTCAAATTCCTGTCTTAGTTTGGTTTGGGATGCTAAATACCATAGCGTGGGTGGTTTATAAATAACAGACATTTCTTTCTTACCATTGTGGGGGCTGAAAATCAGAAATCAGGCTGTTAGTGTGGTCAGATAAAGGCTCCCTCCCAGTTCATAGCTGGAGCCCTTCCACTGTGTCTTCACATGGCAGAGGGGCAGGGACTAGGGAAGCCTGGTGGGGTGTCTTTTATAAGAGCATAAATCCCATTCATGAGGCGGCTCATGACCTAATCAGCCCCCAAAGGCCCCATCTCCTAATACCGTCATCTGTGGGGACCAGGATTTCAACATAGGAATTTGGGGGGAAAACAAGCATTCGGACCATAGCACTTCCCTTTCAGGTACAGGAACTCAAAAATGTTTTATCTGATGTCTGCTTAAGTTTCACTGCTCCTTAGATTAAATTGCAAACAAAAATTCTTAAACATGTATTTTTCTCTAAAAGTAACCTTTTATGAATCCTTTGGTAAAGGAAAATGAAATATTTCCTCCTCCCCAAACTTGGATTTAAAAATTGAAGTGGTGGTTATTTTTGATTAGCACTTATTGAGCCCTTCTTGTGAACGTGTCACTACATAGGCAGTTTACATAGGTTTTCTCGCTTAAGTCTGGTGAGAACCATGGAATAGATACTATTTACCCTTGGTGCACAGATGGAGAAGGCGAAGGTGTGAGGAACTTGGCTCAGGTCACACAGCCAGTGAGAAGCAGAGCTAGGATTTGGTTCCATGTCTGTCTGACTCTAAAGGAGACATTAACTGCTATGCTATCTGCCTTTTAAGCTTTCTTAAAGTGAGTGCAAAATTAAAGTTACTGAGTCTAGTCTTTTCTTAATAAGCAAGCTATATTGCTTGATGTTAATATGGGCCTTGCATTCTTACCTGTTCCTGGGCTGGTGCTAAGGCAACAAGAACCATGGAGGTGCCACTCAGCAGGCTGATGGGCACAGCTCTAAGTTCCTGTCAGAGGCTGCCTGCTTCTGTTTGGGCTGCAGCTCACAGCCCTGCTGTTTCTCCCTATCAATTGCCCAAAGCAGTGTTGACCACTCCCTACTTTTTATCTTTTTCACATCTCATGCCTCTATCTTAAAAAAGGAGTGGTCACTTCAAGTGAAGAGTCTCTTACATTATTCTAAAAAAACTTTGAGGGACAAAATGCATACCTCTTGGTTCAAAAAGTACCCTTGGGTTACAAAGTGTTACAGTATACATATAAATATACCAGTGAAGAACTGATGTGTACACAAGATTCCTCAGCTATGGGGAGAAGCAATTTCTTTTTGGAAAATCATCACATTGTATTCATGCTCTGTGTGTTTAGAGTTGGGCTAATGGTGAGAAGTTTCCATGTTTTGATGATGTATTTAAAATATATATTTAAAATCTGGAGGCAGGATCTATGGGAAAAAAGAGCTACTTCTTTTGAATACAAGTTTGGTGTCTTGACAAGATGTTCATTCTCTTCCCTAAAGGGAGCATCATCTCTTGTCAAATAGAAAAACATAAAAACAAACCCAGCTGTTTTTTCAATTTCTAAAAATAAAAGGTTTGTTGATTTCTGGGTCAATACCAGTGTAGAAAGAACTTTTAGTGTCATCATCTCTGACTTTACAAGTTGTAGCAGATCAACATCTGGACCAATAAAAATGAACTTAAAAAAGATTCTTTCCTTTGTTTACAAATGAACAAAAGCAATGTTAAAAAGGATTAAGTTAGCATAATGTGGGGATAAAGAATATAAAGTCTAGTGCTTGATGCCGAGATCAAATCTCAGTTTTGTCACTTACAGAGTGTCTGATCTTGGGCAAATTACTTGAAATCACTGGGCTTTAGGTTCCTCACCTATAAAACAGTATTTTATGGTGCTGTAGAGGGTGAAATGAGACAACGCCTGTAAACTCAGCACCAGCTGGGCTGAGGCAGAGCTCATCAACAATAGCTACTGAAACCTTGTAATTTAGTCAAGTGTAAGATGCAGTCCATGTTTTTGTCAATTAATTTAGATTATATAGTCTATAAATAAACCATATGTATAATCATACGTACTCAGGCAAAACTTTTTTTTTCAGTATTTTGTAGCCACCTTAGCCTTTCTAAAGTCAGGAACTAGACCCTGGGCAGGGCACCTTAGACACTGACAGCTCTCTCCTGTGCCACCGCAGCTGCTGGCTCTATAGGCCCATCCACTGCCCTCCTGGGACCTAATTCTTATTACCTGCCTTGGCCTAGGAGACCGACTGGGTCACAGGCAAAAGTGATATATTTCTGCTGGTCAGGTTTTTCTTTCTGTGGGAATGACAAAGAAATGCTATCAGCCGGGACTACGCTGGCACTGTCAAGAGATTTTCAGAAGGTCTCGCTGTGTTGTTGACAGCTTTGCTGCTGTATGTTCCATGTTTCAGGGGTCTCAAAGTCTGAAGACAGCATAAACCAGAAACTGGCGAGGCAGCAGTACTCTGGCATGTCTTTGTATTATAGTATGTCACCTGTGGCTCAGAAGCAATTCTGTCACATGCGTGCTGTCATACTAATGCTAATATAATATGCTGAGGATGACATGTGGATCTCTGGATGACTTTGCTTTCCCCTCCTCCCACCCAGTCCCTTGCTCCTCACCCCACCAGTGTCTTTTTCTTGCTGTCTGCTGTGTTTTAATAAACAGCTAACATTTATTGAGTGCTAACTATGTTATAATCACTTTAGACTTATTAATTCCTTTAACACGCACAACCCTATGGAGAGGCACTCTTACTATTCCCTTCTTACAGTAGTGAAGACTGCCCTGGACAACTAAGGAACTTGTTTGGGCCACACAACTTCAAAACTTTCATGGACCTGTATCTCTTTCTTTGAAACTGCTGATCATTTTAATACTAGAGACTGTTGTAAATGATCACTTTTCTCAAGTTCTCAGAAATCTCTTCCTGGAGGTAGAGAGGGAAATCGGTTTGGAGGCTTATCTGGCATAAGGTGGAACCCGTGGATCAAGGATGTTTTATGTAGCATACTCACTGGGGACCCTCAGAGAACATTAAAAGATAGGATCACGTTTCACAAGGCTAAGGTGATGAATGGGGCTAGCATCAGAATGTTCTGCTAGTGTGGATTCTGTGTTTTTTTTTTTGGAGTGAGACATTGTTTATTTCCAAGCCAAAAACAGATGTGTTTTTTCAGGAATGGTTGAAGGTCCAGGGGTTGGGTTGGGGAGGGGAAAGAGAAGTCATTAGACTTTGTTTTCAGATCCTTTTTGGAATAAGACATGAGTATATAAAACAAACCAACCCCATAAGGAAACCTGCAGGACTTTCTGCACCCCACTTCCTGACTGCCAGCAAATACCCTTCATAGGTTCTGCCCCTCCACCTTTCCCGGAGTCCTGGAGATAGTTCTCTCCTGGATAAGTTTACTTGGAACAGAGCCTCTTGTCAACAGGAAAGTCCCTATTTGGAATGAACCTTTAAGTGGGTCAGGCACTGAGCTATGAGTATCAGGTCATGCTCTTTAGGGGTACACCGTGGTGAGCACAATATTCTCTCCAGTGGAGAATGAAGCAAGGAGGCCACCCTGGCTCCTTTGGTGGTCAAGGGACTTGTGTCTACCTCAGAGAAACTGCATTTCTGGGTGCTGGTTGGGAGCGCCATGCTTACAAATGTGGTCTGTGCTGTCTTCCGGGGCTGCCTGCAGTTCACTTCCGGAAGGAGGCCTTGGGATGATGATCCTAAAGTGGAGGGTGGGGGAGGAAGAGGGGCGATACTGTGCCATGAGGGGGTGACAGAAACGACAATGTGCTCTTTATGAAGGCCATGAGCAAGAAGAGAGGACACACCAGCTATACACCACTGGTGGGAATGAAGTGGGGTGCTGAGAGGGGGATTCAGCCCAAACCTCGCCAAACGCAAAGCAGGAAGCACTTGAAGGGCAGCGTTGGCCCCGAGCCTTCCCGGGTTAATATAGAATCTGTAATGCAAGCACGTACGTGAAGCTGTCCACGGCCGCCCCAGGAACACACCCAGTCAAGGTCCTCATAGCTGAGTCAATAGTTGGGGCACTGAGAGCTCTGAGGAGCTGACTGGAGAAGCGGGGGTCATCGGGGGAATCCCACCTCTGGGGGCGTCTGCGAGGGGAGACGTCGGACGCGGGCCTTCCACTCTGCAGCTCCCCTCTCCGCCCGGCCCTGCCCGACAGGACAGACCTTGGCCGGTGGCCTGCTGCCCAGCGAGGCCAGGACGCGTGCGAGGGGGAAGGGGCCGCGGGCGGCGCGCACGGTCTCCAGATCCCGCCGGCGTGTCGGAGTCCTTTAGACTCTGGCCGTGCGGGCCTGGGGGCGCTCTGCCGAGCCTTATAAAACGCCCAGCGCGGGCGCGGGGCTGCGGGCAGGCGCGCGGCTGGCGCGGCGAGTCAGGGGCGCACGGCCGCGCCCCCAGCTGCGGAGGCGGCGCCGCACCGCGCGCCCTGCGGGGAGATGGGCCGCTACTCGGGCAGGACGTGCCGGCTGCTCTTCATGCTCGTGCTCACCGCCGTCTTCTTCGTGGCCGAGCTGGTCTCGGGCCACCTGGGCAACTCCATCGCGCTGCTCTCCGACTCCTTCAACATGCTGTCCGACCTGATCTCGCTGTGCGTGGGGCTGGGATCCGGCTACATCGCGCGCCGCCCCGCGCGGGGCTCCCGGGCCACGTACGGCTACAGCCGCGCCGAGGTGGTGGGCGCGCTGAGCAACGCCGTCTTCCTCACCGCGCTGTGCTTCACCATCGCCGTGGACGCCGTGCTGCGCCTGGCCCGGCCCGAGCGCATCGACGACCCCCAGCTGGTGCTCATCGTCGGCGCCCTGGGGCTGGCCGTCAACGTGGTGGGGCTGCTCGTCTTCCAGGACTGCGCTGCGTGTTTCGCCGGCTGCGGCCGCCGCCGCCGCCCGCAGCAGCAGCCGGCAGAGCGCGGGGCTCACGGCGCTTTCGCGGGGCCGCAGGGCGCCGAGGGCGGGGGACGCGCCGCCTCCGCGACGGCCCCCGGGGCCTCGGCGGGGACGCTCAGCGCGGCCGCGGCGGAGAGGAAGTCGGAGGAGCGGGCGACCGTGTCCTCAAACGCAGCAGGTGCCTTTCGGGTGCATCCTCCGGCTCCCCTGCCTTTCCCTCCCCTCCTGCGCGCCCAGTCCTTCCTCCTCAGCCCACGCCCTCTGCTTTCTATTTCTTTTCCAATCCATTTCCTCTGCAGTTCCGCTTTAATTCTCTTCTGCTAACTTAACATACCGCTTACGATTTCTTTTATTCTACTGCATCCTCGGCAGCCTTTGTCTCTTTTCCCTACTGCTGATGGTCTCTGTATAGAAGAATTGATTTTCTCAGAATTCAGTTATTTTTATTGGGCAACAGATAGCACTCCCCAAACGCTGCCCCTTCAGGAGCTGCTAGCTGTGCCTACATTATTTCTCTCCCCCTTTGACCGTCCTCTGTCCCCTTGGGAGGTATAGGTTTTTTAATTTAACTTGAATGGAAGAGTGCATGAAGCCCAAAAGTGGATCACAAGGCTTGTTTGCAGGCCATATTGTACTATGCTGGACTGTGTGTATGGAGAGGTTGGGGTGGGGGGGTGTCTGGTAAGCTAATAGGATTTTAAAATAACAAAACTGGTTTTGAGTCCATTGGTTCTTTTTGCTTGTAGAACTTATACACAACACAAGGTTTCTTCTTTGAATGCAGGTGATTCCCTGAACACCCAGAATGAGCCAGAGGAGATTGTGAAAAAGGAGAAGAAGTCCGAAGCCCTGAATATCAGAGGTAGGGTTGACTTGGCATCAATTGGAAACCCTTTTCAGTAGGATATAGGGGCTGTGCCGTACCATTCATTTCTGTTTGCCTCTTAGTAAGGTGCATTAGAAGGCGGGCCATTTACCTGCACAGACTATGGCCCAGCTCTTGCCTAATCACTGCATCGATTTTGCGGGAGGCACTAGCTGCTAATGATTTATCTTGCTGCACTTAGACCCATGCTGATGCTGCTACTCCAGAGCTTCACAGGTCTGTGGCATGTCTGCTTTAGCTGCTTCTGCCCCACCGTGGGTATCACTGACATAAAATGCAGCCCTTGCTAACTGAGTATGGTTTTGATACAGGTGGGGACAGGGTGGTGGCGTTGCTGAATGACCCTCGGTGCCTCAGTTATTTTCTGCCAGAAACAGAAATCTGTGATTGGTCTGTTGGCACACTTGACCCTCCCCTTCCAGGCCCCAAGTGGGGGCTCTGGTGAGGCATGTGGAAGACCATTCACTAGCATCCCTCAAGGTCGCAAGCCCTGGGCAGAGGCCAGCCCGGGGAGGTCAGAGGTGCATTTCTCACCAGACACCAACATAGCTCCTTTTCACCTCTTGGGCACAGGTTCTGCTTCAGACTGGGCGCAGAAGGGTCAGTCCCCACTCCTGACGCTGAGAGTCTTGAGAAAGATTATGCAGCCCTTTCCCTGATGTTTTGGGGAATGCCTGTAGTGGGGATTAGATAGAAAGGATATAAAGAAAAATGAATAATCCAGGACACCCCTTCAGTTTTGAGAGTTTTGATACCCAGAATGGATCTACAGGGAAAATCAGAAAACAAGGCATGAGCCCCTAAAAACATCTAAATAAATTAGTTTTTTATAATGGAACTGCATTGGGGGAATTTCTAAAGAGCATGGGTGGCGGTGAATCTAAAGCAATCTGTATTGAAGAATCTTGATCCTTTTTTACCTTTACTTTTCAAGGTTCAGTTTAAAAACTCTACATTGAAGGTTTCTGAGATGGAATTCACCATTATAGCACTTTCACCTTTCCAAGCACGTTCTGTTAATTATTCATTCTTATCTTTCAGAGAAAGAGCAAAGAGGAATAAGAGTAAGGGCTAGTGGGTATTGTGGACCTGTTTTGGGAAGCATAATGTAAGAGAAACTTGCTACTTTTGAGTCCAAAGCTATTGGAGCTCCTGGGTAGAAAAATGTCAGTGTAAATGCCTCGTTGTCTGGCTAAGCCCTGTGGTCCCCAGGCACTAGCAAAAGTGCCCCTCTGGCTTCTAACAGGTGCATAACGCAGTGGCTGGAAGATTTGGTTTGAGCTCAAGCTGTCTGGTTTGGGTCCTGGCCCTGCCGCTTGAGACTCTGTGGCTTTGACAAGTTACTGGCCCTCTCTAAGCCTGCAATCCCCTCCTCTTCAAAATGGGAATAATAATTGTATCTGCTTTATGAGGTTCTTGTGACATACAGTATGTAGAGCGCTCACAAAAATGGCAGGAAGAGTAGCTAAAATTTAATGGAGTACATACTTTGTGCCAGGACCATACATGAATGAGACACTTAGTATTGTAACAGTCTTACCAGGTGGAGACTATTGTTATTCAGTAGTGGAATTGCCGGGCTCTATGTAACCTGTGCTCTTCTGCAAGGGTGAGCTCAGTGCCCACGCCTTGGCTAACAGTGTCCATGTCTCGGGCTAAGTGGGGGGCTGGCCTGACCTTAGGTCCTGTATCTTTGCAGCCATGAGTCAGAGAGGGGCCACAGAATGTTAGAGCTGGAAAGGTCTTAGGGAGAATGGAACATGCCCTCTTCATTTTACAGCTAAGGACACGGAATCTAGAGGGTCAGGTTGCACCCCAAGTCATCCCAGCTAGTGACAGACAGAGGCAGGGCTGGTATCCTGGGCTCCTGCTTGGAATGTCTCCTCTTCCCATCACCACACACAGCCTCTAAACTCCTCACAGGATCTCCAGGCTACACAATCCACTGAATGGTGACATTTCCAACACTTAGGCCACTGCTTCTGAAAGAAGGACTGTCCCCACAGATCTGCAGGGGAACAAACATCCCATGGGGGTGCTGTGAACAGAAACCATCTGTTGGTTTTCAATACTGTTTCTCTTGTTCCAATAGAATAAGAAAAATGGCCTACTGAGAAACACACTCCATCTTCTATTGCAAAGCACAGCGAAGGCACAGTTCTTTAAAGAATCTCATTGACGCGCATGGTAGTGGTCGACTTCCATTTAATGGGATCAAACGTGATGCATTAGAAATGTGACAGTGTGGAAAGACAATTAGCCCTTTGCATTTCAGTATAAATATAAATAGATGAATAGCAATCTTGCCTTCTTCTGAATGTACATGTCCTTTGGTGAGATATTTCTTTCTAGTTCTTATTTTTTTCCCAATAGCAAAGATCTCTCATCCTTCCATAACCACTTGCTAATGCCCAGTGCTAAGGCACTGTGTTTCTGGCTATTCCATGAATTCAACAGCGCTGATGGCTTTTCTGAGCACTGGGATAATTATCTAATGTTTGCTTATGCCAAATTGCCATGTTATATGCCAATATTTTTGTCTTTTGTTTTTATCTGAAGACAACAATGAGGGTCAAGTGCTGAGCCGCCCTGTCATTGCAAAGCTAACCTTGGAGCGTTATGACTAATCGGATGATTTAGTTGCCTTTTAAGTGGTGATTTTTGTTCCTCAGATAATTCTGCCTGGTGTGTCTTTCTGAATCTTAGATGTGGTCACCCCAGAGTCTTCTCCGAAACCTGAATGGCATTCAGAACAAGGTCCTAATACTGCTGACATTCAAGGGCATGCTGTTCAGATGTCACTATCCCTTTCTAGACATTTCCGCCCTTCTCATCACCCCTAAACTCTCTCCCCATCCCCCCACCATTGCACACTGATAGTGAGGTGAGGTCTGCTTGGGTTCTGCTCTACCTTCTACCAGCTCGGTGACCTTAGGCAAGCAACTTAGCCTCTTTGAGCTTCAGCTTCCTTATCTGTATAATGGTGACAACGCCAACCTCCCTGTGTTCTGAGAGCTCCGTGAGTGGTCGGAACAGCACAGAGGACCCACTCAACAAACGGTGCTCATGATTGTCATCACCTCGCAGCCAGAGAAATGAGGCAGATATAACCATCATCCCCATTTCACAGATGAGGGTCTCGTTGCTCAGCGAGGTTGGTTTTCGTGAGGTCCATGACTCATATAATGAATCTCGGGGTCCCTCCCTCCACCCTTAGTGTCCCCGTTTCCCATGCTGCCCGACAAGCTCGTCTTCATCTGCAGCCCCCCTGGGGTTCTTTGCCTGGAGAACCTTCTCTCTGAGTTTGCTCTGGCTGGGATATTACTGCCTGTTGGAGTCTGTGTCCCCTTCAGAGTCTTGCTCAAACTACCCATCTCTCAAAAAGCCTTCCCTGTGACTTCCCATCTGGAGGTGATGGATGCATTTAACTCAGCGTCCTGCTGGTGGACTTCGGTCCCCAGAGCATAATGACCATGCCTTCTTCGTTCATACATGGGGGGTCAGAAAACATGGAGTAATACTCAGTCCCAAAGTGTATTGAAGTGGTGCTGCTTTAAGCAGTTTTCCCAACTGAAGGACATGTTAGTTTGGGTCATAAAACCAACTTAGTAAAGTATGATCAGTATTTAGAAATTTAACTAGCATTGAATGAAATTGAATAGAAAATAGTAATAAATCACATGTAAGGATAAATTTAGATCTTTCACAAAACATTTGTTTTAGTGTGTGCCTGTGTGTGTGCTAGGATGCAAAGTAGGGTTCTGACTGTGGATCATGAGAAAAATAGGTTTGAATGGTATTTTATATAATTCTCAGGAGCTGGGAGCTAAGAACGAGATTTCTCAGAAGGAAAACCTGAAACTGGAACTTAGATCTTATATGAGGCAGGATGCACTGTGGTTCTTAAGTCAGACCACCCAGACTTATATCCCCATTCTCACACTTCCTATCCATGTGCTCTTAGATAAGTTACTTCGCTGGTCTATGCCTAAGTCTCCTCATTTGTAAAATAAGAGTAACCTCTTCAGCAAGTCCTTAGTGTAAATACATGTAGCGTACATACAACCTCTGGTGCATGCCTGTTAGCTAGCATTACAGTTATTATTATTAAGGAAAAGACAGAAGTTACTCCAGGTCATGCCAGTAATGACTATTTTATTTTTATAAATACTGTTTTATTGAGTACCTTCCGTCTACACCTGCAATGCTTAAATAGAAACAAGGGAGGTGCAGGGTGTGACTCTCACCTTCATGCTGCCTAGAGTCTAACAGAGGAAATGAGGCCGACATGCAGGCAACAGAGTCACAGACTGTCAGGCAGTGAAATCCATGTCAATTGCAATAGGAAGTATTTGGTCTTCCTATTTTTATGGTAGTATTTTGTACTGCCTTGGAGAAGGTTAAAACTGATATTCGGTTGCTCAAGGAGGAGCCAGGTGTACCGGGAACGTTTTGTTTCTCAAACTGGGAACTAAGATGCTCCTTTGGGGTGGAGTGGGGAAGAGAGCACAGAATTGGAAAATGCCACTGTTTAATGTTTTTGTTCAGTCAGAATGCAATTACCATAAGTAAGTGTGGGATTCTTTTTGTTCCTGTCTTTTCTGTGGGGACAAGTTGCCAAAAATTACACTTCGTTTGTTTGCAAAGTGCTGTTTTACCTATGATGCTACTCAGAACGCTAGAAGTATTGCCAAGAGGAGGAATTAGCTCGATAAAGCAGACTTTTCTTCTATATGATTTGTTCTAGAGCAGTACTTCGAAAACTTTTATATGCATTCGAATCTAGTTAAAATGCAGAATCAGATTCAGCAGGTCTGAGGAGGGCCCTGTGAGTCTGCATTTCTGTAAGCTTCCAGAAGTTGCTGATACTGCTAATCTGCAAACCATAATTCAAATAGCAAGATTCTGATGTTGCTTTTGTGTTTATGTTTTATAAGCCTTCTGACAACGTTTGCCCCTAGCTCACTAACTCCCAGTTTCATCTGTGTCTAGCAATTGGACCCCCAGCTCTCTTTGGTAGGATTGCATGCTTTCTGTATCATAATCAAACCTCTAGGAATGGTTCCCTTAATTAAAGGCATCCACAATATTTGTGATTATCTGCAGCATTTTACTTTTATTTTATTCTGACGAATGGCCCTTTATTCAGCGGGAATGCTGCTGGAGTCCCTGTTCTCAAAGACCTCTTAAACCAAAGGCAGCTTAAACGACATCGGGCTGAGTGAGAAGTTGGCAAATGTACATAATGAAGGGAGAAGAACAGATCAAGACAGAGGGATGGCAGAATAAAAAGAACCTCTTTCTTGATATATCTTAGTTCCCTCTCTTTTTAAAAATGTTTAAAGCGATTTCAAGTACAGACACTTGTCTGAAAAGGGAAAGAAACCACTTGCTCAGCTTCTGTTTCTCTGCCCAGTGCCTTCTGTGGGGTGGCAGGTGGCAGCAGTGTGGCACTGTGAACATGCACAGTCCCTCTGCCCACAAGTCTGCAGCTCAGAATCTTCCCAGGCTGTTCCAGATTCTTTAGCACCTGGGATGGTGACCTGAGGTTTTGTGTTCTGTGAAGCAGTTGCCATTATTTTTTCATTCTAATCTGTCCTACTGTTCTAACCAAAAAGAAAACAAATAGCAACAAGTGTTCATAGCCTTGGGAACCCAAGTCAAAAGAGTGTCGCATGGCTGGATCTGCGCCTTAGCCGTCTTTCTGTCTTCCCGGCAGGTGTACTTCTGAATGTGATGGGAGATGCCCTGGGGTCGGTGGTTGTGGTCATCACAGCCATCATATTCTATGTGCTTCCTCTGAAGCCCGAGGATGCATGTAACTGGCAGTGCTACATCGACCCCAGCCTGACTGTCGCCATGGTCATCATCATTTTGTCATCGGCCTTCCCACTCATCAAGGAGACCGCTGCCATTCTGCTGCAGATGGTCCCCAAAGGAGTCAACGTGGAAGAGCTGAGTAAGTCAGATGATGGTGACCTGGAACTGTGGCCCACTGCGTGTGTTCAGGCCGGAGGGCCAGCATGATGTCAGACAGGGTTTGATCCATGTGTCCTGAAATAATGAAATGTCACCAGGCAGCAAAGACATCTGTCATATGTTTTGTAGCCTCGTAAAGTGACTGACAGCTGTAAGAGCCAAAGGTCCTTTGCCACCCATGATTGTCTGGCTCAGCTGCAGAAGTCTGAGAATATAGTGTTTGGGCAATACCTATTCGTGGGCAATTTACCCTCAAGTCAACGATGTATTTTAACTCAGATGAGGCCACTCTGTCAAGACCTTGATTTTTATTATCCTTATTCTGAAAACATGAATCATTCATTTGTATTCTACACCCTGCTTTCTAGTTAATTGAGTTTTTATGGACATGCAAGTCACCATGTCGATCTATCAGTGTAAAAAGGACTGTTTTAAATCCAGACCATTTGCAACCTCATTCAATAATGAAATCTGTTTCTTTGCTCGAACAGGTCAAACTCGCACTTTAGTTATGTGCACCTGAGGATAAAACTTTTAGAGACTTTATAGCATTTTCTAATGGGAACTATCTAGATGGGTGAGAAATTGAATGTGCAACTGTATTTCTAGTGTTTCTAAATGGAGACTATGTTCTAATAGAAAAGAACATTTTCATGAATATTTGCTCTTATTCTGTCTGTCATTGCTTCACTAGCGATCCAGTAAACATGAAATAGAGCCCAGGCCCCCTATGGGGCTCAAAGTCGGGGACCTCATTTCATGACAAATACCTGACCTTAGGTTTGAACGGGTCTTAATAATGCCTTGTGTGGCCATGGCCAGCCTGTCCCCTCTGAAGGAGCGATTACGGGGTGACTGCTCTGGGGAGGTCACGGTGCTGCCGGCCCTCTGTTTAGTAGCGGGCACTGGGACCAGTTGGCAGAACCGTTGCCAACAGCTGGTGCTCCTCTACGATCTTTTCCCCGGGATGTGCTTTTTCCTTTTTTGACCTCTTCTTTGGCCTGTATG